TGAAAGGCTTTTACAAGAGGCAGGAGCAAGGAGAGAGAGGAAGAAAGGCAAGCATTTGTTTTCAGAGCTTCACAGTTCTCTGGCCAGCTCTAAAGCTGTCCAATTTCTGATCCCAATTAGAATATCAAATCCTATTATTGTTTCTCTTAACGATCTTGGGAAATTCCTCTGAAGAGTCAGTGAGCACTTAGCAAACTCTTTGGATGGCACCATCTCTACAGTTGTGCTTCTGGTTATGTGAACACCCCATGCCAAAGAAGCCTGAAAACATCCTTTATTTCAGTCCCCAAAAGGCAGTGATGAAATTGGGAAAGCTAGAAAAGGCAGAAAACTGCGGAGTTTTCAAAATGTTCATGTGGGGGCTCCTTTCAATAGACATTTACCAGGTGCTCACTTGGTGGTGAATCTGGGCTCTGTGTTGAAGACAAAGATGAGAAAGACCTTGACTGGCTTGGTGTTAACTCTAGACTTGAGGAGGAGACAGATCATACATACTGAAGAGAATTTTGTGGCTTGTTTGCTGTTACTGTGACCTACACAGTTGTACAGGACTGGGTTCAGATCCTGGCTCAGTCATTCATTAGCTATAGGTCATGAGGGAAGCACATTTACCTCCCTGAGCTTCACTTTCCCATTTGCACAATGGGGAAGTGATGCCAACCTAGTTGGCTTAGTGTGAGGAGTAAGCACATGTGAGAGAATGAGGAAGAAGAATGTGGAAGACTTAGTCTCTGCCACCCAGGACTACACAGTGAGCCAAGTGTTGGCTTTAAAGACTTCTGTACTGGCAAAAGCACTTAAAGATTTGGCTCTTTGAATAGGGTAAAGTGAAATACTGTGTAAGAATAAAATAATAAACCAGTTCTACTCTGGAACATGTTTTTGTGCCATGGATAGTGTTGGGCAATTTGCACATATTATCTCATTTTATATGAATGACCAACTCCATTAGGTAGGGTAGTATTACTACAGAAAGGTTAAATGAATTGCTCAGGATCACATAGCTGGGAAGGAACCTGCCCAGCTGATAAGATCCAATCTTGATCATGTCTTCAGTGCTCTTTCTATCTTTAAAGGCTGAGACTTTTGAAAAGTTAGGGCAGCCAAAGTTCACATCAAATCTCTCTAGGGCATGTTGGAGGTTGACCAGACAACTGTATGCAGACACCCATTTAGAAAGATTTTGCTGGAGAAAACTCTTCAAGATCATAGACACCATGCTTTATTTACCCAGCGTGTATTTGTTAACAATGACAAGTCATGAGGAACACACAGAATACCACTGATATGAGAGAAAAATAACAGATTTTTCATAAACTAACCTGGAGAAATCCAAGCAAAGAGGTCATAATGATAATCAAACATGAGTACTAATGATTTCATACTGTTTTCCTCTTTCTGTCCAATGGTTTTCCTCACAGCCAGGCTTCATGTAACCTCTACTGTCACATTGATAGCTAAGCTTTTCTCTGTGCCTTAAGTTGAATTTTGTTTCTTTTTATATTTACTCAGAGAAAAATGGAGGAGTATTTCTTTTAGTAATGTGCTAGTCTTGCAAATGAACACACACACACACACACACATGCAAACACACACACAGCTCTTGGGGAAAAGCAGTGGAGTATTCCAGACAGGAGACGTTCCAAAGGCAATTGTCATTTAGTTCCAGAAGGCAGATACATATTAAAATATGTTTTTGCTGTAGTAGCAGGCTGACTTCCCTATGTCATTTGAACATACCATTGTTCATTTTTTTTTTTTTAAGTTTCCTGAATGCTCAGCAGCTAGGGGAAGGGACATAAGAAAAATGCAAACCTGTTATATGCAATTCATTTATATTATATACAAACGACACTGCTTTTAGTGTTTCTAACTTTCCTGTGAGATAGATGCAGTTACTCCCATTTTACAGATGAAGAAATTGAAGCTCAAGGAAATTAAGCAACTTTCCAAGGCTATAACCTACTAAATTGGGTTTTGGCTGCTTTTCAAGACTATTCTTGTTCGACTCTCTATAGCGCTGGTGGTGTAGTGCCTAAGGCATTTGACTCCTAATCATAAGGCTGGTGGCAGCCACTCCTCAGAAGGAAGGTTGGGCAATCTACTTCTGTAGTGATACAGCCTCAGAAACCCAAGAAGAGGTCGCTTTGAGTTGGATCTGACTCTTTGGCAGTGGGTTTTTTGTTTGTTTTTTATAGCAATAATAGTGTGTGTGTGTGTGTGTGTGTGTGTGCATGTGAGTGTCTGTCCCTCTCCTCCCTGTTGGTGTGTGACAGCTATGGATTCAGATCTGGCCATGATACCCAACCATAGAGGTATTCATTCAACGAAAATTTCTGACTACATGGTCTAGTTATATAGCTCCAGGGCTGACTCTTGTGCTGTATTTCACATAAATGGCATCCCCTCCACTAGTGTAATTTGGGGATGCTGAAGCTATTTATCAGGAGCTATGCTGATGTTGAATATAGAGAGATTGGCAAGGTAAAATTCACACACACACACACACACACACACACACTGCCATCGAGTCAATTCCAACTCATAGCAACCCCCATTGGGTTTCTGAGGCTATAAATCTTTATGGAAATAAATTTCCTCATCTTCCTTTCACAGAGCAGCTGGTGAGTTTGAACTGCTGACCTTTTGGTTAGCAGCCAAGTGCCTTATCCACTGTGCCACCAGAACTCCTTAAGGTAAAATTATTGTCCTTTAATACCTCATTAGTTATTCTAATAACCCCATCTTCGTATCTACAGCCTCCTGTTATCCAAACTCCCTGTGCAGCCCACCTGCACCCACAAGGGCCTTCTTAGGTCTCACATCCAACTTGACCTTCCAAGACTACCCCTCCTGCCAATTATTAACTGGAACAAGCCACCAGCTTTTTTATACTCCCCCTCTGTGGTAGTTAAAGTTGCATATCAACTTGGTTGGGACTGGTTTTGAGTCGCTGGGAGCTGAATGTAGTTATTCTCCATGATGAGACTGGTAATCAACTCCATGGTGGAATCTACTGTGAGCATCTGAGTAGCTGCCTTAAGGACATGGTCTGCTTCCTGTATACAAGAAGAAGCTTTGAGGAAATTCTCTAGCTTCTTGGCACATCTGGATCCTGCATTTGGCCAAGTCCTCAGCCATCTGCCATGCTGTCTGCTGATCTTGGGACCATTTAACTAGTGGCCTGCTGTGTTGTTTTGTAATTTTGGGACTGTACCATTTTACTTGTCAACCTTGGGTTTGTCAGCCTCTGCAGCCAGCAGCTGCTTGAATTAAGAGAAGCCTCCAGCTTCAGTGAGCTGGGGGCAAGAGGCAGAGCTGAAATTCAGGGTCGAGGGGCCTTCACCCAGCTCCAAGAGCAAGCACTTTGAACTCAGACTTCTAGCTTCCAAAATGGTAAGAGAATAAATCCCTGTTAGTTCAAGACATGCATTTATGGTAATTCTGTTATAGCAGCACCAGTGACCAAAACACCTTCTCTGAGCCTCTGTTTGCTCATCTGTGAAATGGACCTATAAAACCTGCCTTATGGAATTGTCAGAGTTGGATGAAACAAATATGCCAATATTTCTATCCACACAGTAGTTGCCCAATGCATATTACATTTTTGATCTAATAGTCCAATTTTGATCACTTGGTATTTTGGTGGCATAAGAAAATAATTTCTGACTTACCAGTCTTCTCATTTCTCATGTTTACAATGTTTAAGAGTTCCAGGATGATGAGGAGGCAGTCAGTCTGCCTCAAGAGGCATTTTTCCTGGTAACTCAAGCATGATAAACTAAGGCATGTCGGAATGACGAGACCCTTGTTGTTAGGTGCTGCTAAGTGAGATTTTGAGTCATAGCGACCTCATGTGACAGAGTAGAACTGCCCCACGGGGTTTTCCAGGCAGCAATATTTATGGGAGCAGATGGTCTGGTCTTTCTCCCACAGAGTCACTGGGTAGGTTCCAATCGCTAACCTTTCACTAAGAGCCGAGTGCTTAACCCTTGCCCAACCAGGACTCTTAGAAGGCCCTTAGAGATCATTTACTTCAGTAAATCCAGACTATTTTGTTCTTAAGGTTTTGTCCATATGATTTCATGAGTGGCCTCACTATATAAAATGATTGTGCTTTCTGATTAATTTTCCCTTGGCCTGACTCCTTCATCCTGTCTCCTACACCAGTTTTAGAATAAGTATCTAGGTCATCCAGAGTAAGTGGTAGTGCTGGGTACAACTTTGGCTCTGAAGCTCCAGGTCAATGTCCCATCACACTACCTGTTTGGTGTGATGTTCATATAAGTGTGTGTAGTGTAGAAGGTGCTAAGTTGGGAGGATGTTAAAGGTAGAAGAACTATGTCAACCAGCAGAAAACTGCACTTAATTTTCCTATCCTGAGGGAACCAGCAAAGAATTCTTCAAAACATCTATCCAGTACTCTTGAAAAATATCCCTAGAGACAGTGTAACACAGTCTAGTTTTGTACTGGAGAAAACACTGGACTTGTTCAGAAAATCTCATTTGGAATTCTGCTTCTACTGCTTAGCGTTGAGGTAATATTTTGCTAATATGCTTATTTTCCTTATAGTGGGAAATCCCTCCTAGAATAGTAACTGGGGGCAGGACTGACATGGCCAAAAACAATGTATTTAGGCCTACTATGTGCCAGACACTTTTGGGAGTTGACATCTGGCATGTTTTTTACTCTACAGAGCTGTGGGGTTTGCAGAAACACAGTTTGACCAGCAATGTGGAAAAAGAATATGTAACAATAGGCCTTATTAAAATAGAAGAGGATTTTAAATAATTGGGCTTTTACACATAGGAAGAGAAAACCTGGTTTTCTCTGACCACTTTGAGCTGCTTGTGAGCCAGCCTTATAGCCAGAGACAACGTCCAATTCAAGAGCATCTAGTCTGAAAATGCCTCTACCACTACACTCAGGCCTGAGAAACATGTGTCTGGGTAAAAAGGGAGATAAGGGAAACATCTGTTCACACAATATGGGCTTGCTATCATAGCTCCTTTAAGTACTGCAGCGCTGGCTCCAAGAGCATATTTTCTCCTGAACGAAATCTCCGCAAGGCCTGGTCAATTTTCCGAGGGCTCAGGGACAGGTTGTAAATGAGATTGTAGTTGTGAATGAGGCGTCTGGCTCGTCCCTTCTCCAGGACTCCTGCGATTGGGTTGGGTGGGTGGAAGGTTTTTAAAAAGCGAGGAAACAAAAAAGAGAAAATGCATGAGCTTGAAAGGCTGCCAAGTAAACACTAAAATGGTATCATTTTATAAATTTAAATCTCTTACAAACCAGGTGACACTCTAAAATAATTATATCATACATTTCATCATACATTCATACATAAAATGGATTTACATCATACATTTTAAAGGAAATTTGGGTGTGGTTTTGGGGGAGAGAGGAGGTAGGGTTCAACAAAATCCATAAATAAATTCTAAAGTCATTTAAGATTCTTCTTTGTAACCATAAAACTTTAAAAACTAATTTTTTAAACAGGTGAGTGCCTGCTAAAAACAATTTCTAGTTGTTCTGGGAATTTTCATCTTGTTGAAGTATGGAAGCACATTGCTAAACACATGAGATTTAAACAGCTGATTTTAATGCATTTCTGGACATGTGTTTACTATGAGTCTCTCCAGCTTCCTGTGTGATCATAGGTAAATCATACATCTCATGGCCCAGAGCCTGAATCTGTGTAATAGAGATGGTGGTCCTCCTCATCAAAGGATATACTCTGGCACCTACCCCTTCTGAATACCAATACCAAGGCCAATCTCCTTGAAAACATTTCTTTTTCCCATATTAGGGTTAGATTTTGCTAGTAGGTGAGAGGAATTTAAGTACAGAGTGCAGCATCAGCAAAGATAAATAACTCATTCATAAGCCCCACAATGTGAGCTTACATGTGTCACATACTCCACTTGGGTATGTAGAGGAATTTGAGCAGTGGTCTGTCACCCCAGAAAGTACCTTAACCAGGTGGGGGGATGAGATATGCAGAGAATTAACCATAGTTCAATAATAACTGATACCAAAACAACCCACTGCCATCGAACTGATTCTGGCTCATAGAGACCCCCATTGGATTTCCAAAGTGGTAAATCTTTACAGAAGTAGATTGCCTCGTCTTCTTCCCATGGAGCAGCTGGTGGTTTTAAACCACTGACCTTCCCGGTTAGCAGTCAAATGCCTTAGGCCCTGATACTTACATAAAATTTACTGCTACAAGCATTTTACAATACTAACTTATTGAATCCTAGAGAAATCCATTATACAGATGAAGAAATTGAGGC